TTGATAAAGGAGATTTCATTAGTTTTGAATGATCCTGCCTCTTCAGAAGTTCCATGCTAAGAGGTAGAAGAATCCTGTCAAAATAATTTCTAAATGTGGCCAAGCTTAAGGGCAGTGGGTGTTCTATCTCTGTTCATTGCTCATTACTGCCTAACTCCTAGCATTTGCTGTCTATGCTTCCAAGAACGAGCCAGCAGCTACATATGGCTCTGAAATATCAGCAGCCACAGAGTGCATCAGGTACTTCCTCTCTTAAGCCTTTGTTCAGAGGGGTTGATTTTGTATTAGTTTATCCCCAATTCTACACCTGTTAAAGTTTGGTTTTCCAGTGAACCAGATGGTAAGTTGGAGATTAGTATACAAGGAATTATTAAGAGGGGGAAGTCTGCCAATAATACCAGGTAATAGCAAAGGTAAAGAAAATGCGTGAGCAGGGGGAGGGGTCAGACTATGATGAAGTCACAATAGGGGCCTTCAGTCAGGTAACTAGGATGATCTGGAACCAGAGTACTTTCAGAATGATCTCAAATTGGGCCCAAATGGACAGAACCCTCTTTTGAGTTTGGGCCATCTGAGAAAGACAATGTGACCTTAAGTCAAATGTATCTCATTTAGTTAAGGTATTTATGGAGAGCTGGGAGGGAACAAATGGGGAGTATTGTGAGAGGTACTCTCTAGGAAGCTGTGATCCAAAAAGGCCTCTAGATGCTGAGTCACAGTGCTCACAAAGTCTACTTTGGTTACAGTCAAGTCTGGGTTCAAACACAAAGCCTGATCTTTGACAGGCTGGCTTGACACTGGTAACCTGCCTATCTGTAGAATTTGCCTTCCTACAATCCAGCTGGCTGTTGTGGATGCTAGGGGCCCACACTGAGCTCCAAAACAGTGCCAATGAGAATATTGAGTTTATCCTATGTAGACTGGGTGTTTAACCTTATGTGCTAGGACTGTCTATGTGTTTTCGTGAACTGAGACAAATTTTATGACCTAGATGGTTTAGCATGCCAAAACTGAGAAAGCTAAGAGAACCAAGGTTTTAAGGTGTTTTTTTTTCCGACATTCAGGAGAGTGGGGAATTCAGAGATGGTGAGCTCTCCCCATATATGTGGTGTCTGGGCAATTGAGAATATCTGGCCTAGGCACCTCTCTAGTGAGAGAGGAAAGCCTCTGTAGTGCTGTTGTGGGAAGCTATTGCTCCTGAGAGCTAAGGAATTCTTTTTAACCCCTTGAGGAAAGCTTTACTTTCCATTTGACATCAAATGATTTTGGCCAATTTCAAACTTTGATGAGGCCTCAAGGTAACAGGAAATGGGAAACCTACTATATTCTGTGGGGCGAAAGGGGTGACTTTTCTTTATTCTAGAAAACTCCATTCCCTCTTAATGTGTGATTTAGTGATGGCTTTTTCGAGTGTGTCTACACACTTTAAGAGAAGACCCTTTCCCTCTCTCCCTCATTCCTTGTGTTCTCCAGCACTTGCTGTTTTCTTCAAGACAAGGATGCAGAACGTTTGGCTGATGGTGTTTATACCTTCCTGGACACATGCCATGATTCAACTCTGGGTAACCATGTTAACTGCTTTTTGTAGAAAATGAGTTTTCTTGTTCCTCACCACTAAGCCATGGTTCTTTTGATCAAGCAGTTGGGTTTAGCTGCACTGTGTGTGTGGATGTGTTTCACATCCGTGGTCTAGGAAGGTCCTGTTGGTCAGACATGCTGAGATAAAAGCCCACATTCAAAGTCAGTGTAAAGTGACTGGGTCTAACCTCTGAAAACAGAGAAAGTCCAATGCCCCTAAGCTATGACTTTGGGGTGAGCATTACACCTGTGTTGGGATCTACAGTAAATCTTATGTCCTATATCTTCTCTAAATCAACACTGTATACATCCTCACTCACTCATCTGATTCCTAAACCCTAATCTTGAAATAGCATCCAATATACATTGTAACTATGTCAGTAGGTTCCAATTCCAGCTCTTTGCCTGATTCCTACTAAGTGGATTTTTTTCTTTAATTTTTTCAGTTTACATTTCAAGTTTTACTTTTTTTGTTGTCACCAGATGTTTAGATTAAACTCTATGTCTTTGAGTATAAATTTTCTATGTTGTTTCTATACCCCAATTAAATATAATTATGTTGCACGCCCTTTTAAAATTGTATCTGGATGCTTGTAGTAATTGTAACTCATGTAACTGTTTATGTATCATTTTGTCATCTGGTACCTTTGTTAGCCTATATGTATTTTTATATTTTTGTTATCAGTATATATGTTTCTCTATATCATCTTTAGATATATGTTATGAGATATTTGTATGGTAAAGTAAAGCCCTACTCTCTAAAACAGGTTTGATTCAGTTTAGCGTATAAGAAAAAATGTACAGGTAAGCATAGTTCAAAGACTTAAGAAATTTAAAATAATTAGCCTCCTTTGAAAAGTTTACTTAAATTTGTAAAAAAAAAAAGGTTAACAATTAACTGTTAATGTGGCTCTTTTAATTTCATTTCTGCTAAAACAAAATACCTAGACAATGAACAACTGAGGGGAAAGGGAATTCATTGAAGTGGAAACTTAAGGGTTCTTTGGAAAGTCAGTTATATTAGATGGTGTTTTGTTAAAACAGACACATGAAGGAATGTTTTGCTGAAGCAGACACAGGTAAAATGATATTCTGCTAAAGCAAGCACATAAAAGGACATGTGATAAATGATTCTTTGCTAATGACAGGCATGTATTGGCCCACCTTACATTGCATAGCTGAGCTCCATTTGTGGGGGTCCATAGAGAGAAACACAGCAAAAACCTTCTGGTGGTGTGCTGGCAGCTTCTTCTGGTTTCCACAGACTCCAGCCGACTGGCAGAATAATATCAGCTGAGCCAGAATCAGGAACTGAGACAAGACATTTGATGAGACAAGACCCATGGAGGACACATTATGTTTGGAGGGAGTATAAATAAGACTGAACAGACAGTGACAGAGGCTTGAGCTTGGCTTGTTTACATAGCTAAACATCTGTTTGTCTTGTATCTTCACTGATCTTCTCTTTCCAGGGAGAGGCATAGCCCAGAACTTATCCTGGTGTCTCTCCTGGTCCCGCCTATTATATCATGCTGAGACTACTGAGACCTGACAGTTCCTGCTAGATTATGCCACCACTGCTGCTGTCCTGATTCTGCCATACTGGAATACTGGTGTATCTGTGAAGTGTTTGCAAGTAGATCGAGCTGTTGCTGCTGACCCTGAACTAAACTGCTGATTTCCTGACTACACAGATGGGAGTTGTTCCAAAGAACCATTTCTAACGAGGTTCACTTCCCCTGTATCCTTTCTTTTCCACTACCTCTGGTGGGTGGTGGGCTAGAAGGGAGGTTAAAACATTTAGGAACCATCATTAATTTGAAAAATTTAAAGTGGTGGTGCCCCATGTTGGGCTTGATCTACTTGCAAACACTTCACAGATACACCAGCAGTCTATTAGGTATGGTCAGGATAGCAGCAGCAGTCTCAGCATGATATAACAGGAGAGACCATGAGGAACACCAGGAAAAGTTCTGGGCTGTGCCTCTTCCTGGAAAGGGAAGATCAGTGAAAATGCAAGACAAACAGATATTTAGCTATGTAAAGAAGTCAAGCTCAAGCCTCTGTAACTGTCTGTTCAGACTTATTTATACTCCTTCCAAACATCATGTGTCCTCCATGGTTCTTATCTCATCAAGTGTCTTGTCTCAGTTCCTGATTCTGGCTCAGTTGACACTCTGCCAGTCGGCTGGAGTCTGTAGAAACCATAAGAAGCTGCCAGCACACCACCAGAAGGTTTTTGTTATATTTTTCTCTATGGAGCCCCCACAAATGGAGCTCAACTAAGGTGGGCCAATACATGCCTGTCATTAGCAAAGAGTCCTTTATCACACATGTCCTTTTATGTGCTTGCTTTAGCAGAAAGGTATTCTTTTACCTGTGTGCTTCAATAAAATGTTCCTTCATGTGTCTGTTTTAACAAAACACCATCTAATACAACTGACTTTCCAAAGAACCCTTAAGTTTCCACTTCAGTTCATTTGTGCTTATAATTCCAGGCTTTGCTTCATCACAGGAGGAAAGGCAAAGCAGCAGGAACTTGAAACTTGAAAATTGAAACTAACCATCAAACTCCACCCCTTGTAAATATGCCACTCAAACATATCACTTTAAGCCATATACCCAACACTAGATAGTACAGAGTAGCATTCTTTTCTCCATTAACTTTTGTTTAATAAAAATTTCTTGGATTATTTGATTCCACACAGTTGTTTTTGAAATACCTGATAGAAAAAAAGATAGGCAGTATTGTGTATTTTGGCTCAGTTTCAGAAAGTTTATACTATTCTGGTTTCATCCCATGCTGTTGAGTAGAACATCAAGAGCATATGCAGAGGAATGTTGTTTATTTTATTATGTACTGGAAGCAGACACTGTAAAACAGACAAGAAGTAACTTTAGGCAAATAACCCAGAGACCTGCCCTAGCAATCTACATCTAGGTAGACTTTACTTTTATTGTTGTCAGACTTTTTTTGAGATTATTTTAAGTGAGGGCACAGTGAAACCACCAAACTGATTCACTCACTGGCAAGAAGAAAAGTGTATTGGCAGGAAAAACTGCAGGCTGCCTCCACGAATAAAGGACAGCAACTTGGTAGGAAAGCATGCAGATTTTATATGATAGTCAGCAAGGTAAGGGAGACAGGTCTCTGAGACTATAAAGGCTGTTTGGATTACTTGGAAACTAGATTCCCTTGGCCAAAGTATTTGGCCACTGTTATTCCTGGTCAACAGGAACTTGCCATAGGAGATCTGATTTTCTGATTAGCAGAAACTACCTTCCAAGGTATGCTGAGCAAAAGGTTTTGTTACTCAATAACAATCCCTCTATTTACATGGGCAGAGTCCATCTGTTTAGGATATTGTCACCAGCACTGACACTTTAGGGATCCATTTGGACCTAACATTTCAGCCTTTTGTGGATGATAAAAGGGCAATGATAGTCCTCTGGCTACTTTCTGCTGATTGGGGACTTGAGAAGAGGAGTCTAGAATGCTGGTCTAAAATAGGGCCTTAAGCCAGCAGGTAATGATAGGAAATTCTATCAGATACATGTGGTTTACTGGCTGAGAGATTACTTCATGAACTCTCTTGTGAAGTAACCTGAAGAGAGAGAATTATTAGTCTCTCATAATTATTATACTATAATACATATTAGATATATATTATAATATGTAACATATATGTAATATACAAATATATTATATAATATATAGTATATATAACATATCATATAACACATAATATGTCATATTATACATATATTACATATCTGATATTTATTGCAATATATTATATATCATATACTATATTAAATATATATTATTATACAATGTGTATATCATATATTATAAGTATATACACAGTATTGCAATTTTTATAGTATATACAAATTACAATATACATGATATATACAATAATATATGCAATATATATGATATAGTATAGAGTCTATGATATTATATGTATATGTACATATAATATCATGTACATAAGTGTATGATACATGATAATGATACTATTATAACATACATAAATGTACATCATGCATCATCTGTTATATATCATGTAGCATATATCATATAATATCTATATAATATATTTTATCATCATATATATGTTTATTTATAATACTGTATATTATACCATAGATAATAAATATTACATGTAACATATAACAATATATAATATATATCATTATATATTATTAAATGTTATATATTATTCTCTCATTATTTTTATTATTATAATGATTATTTGATAATTATTTTGAAAAAGTTAGAGACTAGTGGACTGAGGAATAGCAGGAACTAGGGCTCTAGAGAGGACTATATTGAGAATTCCATATTGGAGTCATGCCCTGGAGGTCATAATGATTTGCAAGCCATCTTATATGTTTTCAGTCTTCTCTTCCACTTGATCAGACTGGTTCACATAGTAACAATATTCTTCATTGATGAAGAAGAAAGTGAGTGCCTAGTTTTGAAAGTTAGACCAGGGCTTGCTGAATTTGGTATAGGTTGAAGGAAGGAGAGTGTTTCAAGGCCTTTTGACAGGAGATTTGCTTGAAGGTGAAGCATTTCTGGCTGATATTTCTAAGGGCTGGAAAGCTAGAGTAGAAGAAGAGAGTTTGGAAGAAGCAGTAGAAGGTCAAGAACCAATTTGAAAGGACTTGTGAATAGCTGTCAAGATAAACTTTGCTCAAGTACTAGGGAGACAGTGCCTGTCCCATATAAAGAGCCAGCCTTGGGGACCCACAACAACTCTATGTCCTTAGGACTCTGAGTATGTAGGAGTTAAGCTTAGTGGAGCCAATAGTAAAATAGAAGTTAGGAATGTTTGCTGGCCTCTTTAGCAGCCTCATCAGCAAGAGAAGGAATGCATGAACATAATGAGTTGCCATGAGGAGTGTAACAGGCTTGAGAAGAGGGCTGGAATCATGTAAGATATCAGAATTTTCTAAGTCATTTATGTAGTAAAAGTGGAAGCCTAGTTGGGGACAAAGTATAGAGGCTCTTGTGTGAGAAGTAATTTTGAGGTGATCTGGGTAGAGGACAGAGAGTGAGAGCAATGAAAAGTGAGCTTGGCCTCCTGGGCCAATAAGGAGGCGGCAGTTAGTGCCCGTAGGCAAGGTTGCCATCCTCCAAGTGGCAAAGACAGGCCCTCTCATTTGTCCCCAAACTACCAGGACCATTCCCTGTTTTTTAGTAGTACAAAGGATAAAGTGTTGGTTAAGGTCTAGATGATCCAGCATAGAGGGCTGTAACTGCATCTCAAAGGTGAGAGAAGATAGGTGTGACAGGGTTAATTGGGCTCTACAGACTCAATTGGAAGGCCCTTATCTGCTTTATATAGAGGGCAGGTCAGAAGAAAACAATTGGGAATTCAGGCTCTGAAATACTCCACCAGGCTCAGGAAAGAAAAAAAATCTCTTCCTTGGTAGTTAGAGATATGAGGGGCCACAGGTACTGTCTGAAATCAAGAGTAAATTCGCCACTGTTAAGAGAAAATAGGAAGTCTGAATACTTGACCCAAAAGATATGCTTGAGCTTTGAAAGGAGAAACTCTGTCTTTTGCTTACTAGAAAGTTAAGAAGTTGAATAGTATGTTGTTGTTAGAATGATAGTGAGACCCTGCACAGTAGAAAGACATCTACATATTGGATTAAGTGGTTGGAAGATAGGTTGGGGATCAGTAGCCAGATCCTGATGAAAGAAATGGAGAACTATCTTAGAAACCCTGGGGGTAGACAGTCCAAGGGAGCTAAGAGGTTGTTCCCATGTCAGGGTCAGACAAAGTGGTGATGTGAATCTGGGTATAAAGGAATAATATATAAAGGATCCTTAAGGTCTAAACCTGAAAAATGAGAGACACGGTAATATGAGAAAGTTGAGCATAGTCATTAGGCACCACTGGGTAGACAGTTGCATTAATAATATTGAGATCCTGGGTCAAGTGGTAGGGGCCACCTAGCTTTAGGACTGACAAGATAGAGGGCTTTAAGGCTTTTTAAGTACCACTACTAAAAAGGCATTGTAATAATGGGCTTTAAGCCTTGTCTATGTTTTCAAGAGATATGGTATTAAAAGGAACAGGGTAGAAATGAGGGTCCTGGAGAACAGTCATACTGGCTGATAATGGGAAGCCACTGCAGGAGAGAAGCTGTCTCATACTTTTGGATCATTGAGGAACTCTGTAAAGCATTAGTGTCAGCCAGTAAACTAGGAGGCACTTCAGAGGCTAGAAAGAGAGGGAAATTCATGAAGGAGATCGATTAAAAGAAAAGGAATCACATAATTTAGCCATGATATTCCTACCCAATAATGAGGTTGGACAACTAAGCATAACAAGGAAGGATTGAGTGATCAGGTATCCCCAGAGAGAAAAGAGGGGAAGGCCTGGAATGCTGAGATAGTTAGATCAGCTATTGACACTGGTCATAGAGATCTGAGAAGGATTAGTTTTACCAGAGTAAGCAGAACGTATTGATTAAATACCTGCTGAATCTCATCTCACAGTGTTCAAGTGGCTTCTCTAGCCCCAAATTCCAAACTCTTCCACAAAATAACACAAAGGCATAAGAGCCACACAATGAGATTTACCAGAGCAATGACCTTAATTCCTAGGTACAAAGTTCTGTTCTGGCTTTATTTCTTTTGTGTGTTAGCTTTTTAACTTCTTAAAGCACTGAATCTTAACAAAGTCAAGATTATTTAAAAATCCATCACAGTTCTATTATTTAAGGCACATTTATTCTTGAAGTATGGTATTCAACTTTCTGGGTGTTCAAAAGCCAATTTAGAGGCCAGGAAAAAAAAAGATGCTAAAAGTCTCTTTAGTATTTTCTCCCTTGCCCTCTCTCTGTTCTGGTAAGCTTTATTTGCCAACTTGACACAACATAGACTCACCTCAGAAAAAAGACCCAGTGAGGGATGGTCTTTATTGCGTTGGCCTGTGTGTTTGTCTCATAGGGCCATTTTTTTTCAGTTGAGGTTCCACTTTCCAAATGACGCTAGATTGTGTTTACTTGACCTAAAAAACTAGCCAGAACAGTTCTTTTGTCTTCATTGCCTTATTCTTTTATTTGATTTTATTTTTGAGATAGAATATTTCTTTCTTTCATTTCCTCCCTTCAAGCCCTCCCATATACATCTCCTTCTGTCTTTCAAATTAATGTCCTCTAATTTTTCACTAATTGTTTATTACATGAATATATGCCTATATATTCCTAAATATAACCAGTTCTGTACATATAGTGAAACTTTTATATATGTTTGGAGGGCTTTCCTTAGCACTAGAACATCAATTGGTGTACTATTCCTTGGAGAAGACCATCTCTCCCAACTCCAAGCTTTCTCCAGTCGCCTATAGTTCTTTGTGTACAGTTGAGGTCTTGTAGATGTTGCCCCATCCAATGGCATGTACCTTGGTACTATATTTGTTCAGCTTATATTTAGGCAGTCATACTATAGTTTTCCTCCTTTTTATGTAACAAAATACCCTGAAAAAAACCATCTTATTGTTTAGTGTCTCACAGGTTGTAGTTCACTGTAGCAGGAAAGTTAAGACAGCAAAATTTTAAAACATCTAGTCACATCACAACCTCAGTTAAGAGCTGTGCTAGCTTCTAATATTACTATGAGACATACTCTCACAGAAAGTTCCTTTGTCCTCTGGCTCTTCTTATTATTCTACAATGTTCTCAGTGAAAGGACAAGTATTGGCTCAGGATCCCCAAGATCAAGTTCTCAGCACAAAGGAAATATATTTTCCGTATAGAAACATAAAACAGGGAATAAGGGACAGAGACTGGAGATAGAAGACAAGGGAGTAGGGGAAGGGAACAGCAGGAGCATTTGTCCTGGAGGGACAAAAGACTGAGTCTGGATAGAAAGAAAACAGACATGGCCCTTAGGCAAATGGCAGCTTATAAAGATACAAGGGGAAATCCTATGTTAGAACGAAGTATTTAATTTCAATTGAGCATGTTAATTCGGTTGATTGTTAGATTTCAATACTTTGAAAGATGCATCTTGGTAGTCAGCCTCAGGCGGAGAAAATTGGCCAGGCTAGCTTTAAGGATGTAATCTAATGATTTCTAGGAAGACAGAAGGAATGAGGGAGAAGAGAAATTCCTGCCAGAGCTATGTTCACCAAGTTCAAGCTGTCCAGAGTCCTTTTATCCAGGACATTACATGCAGGAGTATTTTGTAGATGTAGCCATTGGGGCTAGGCTCCACAACTCTGCATTTTGATTGGTTGTGTTTTTCTGTAGCAGTCTGTATCTGTTGCAAAGAGAAGTTTCCTTAATGAGGAGTAAAGACTACACTCATCTCTGGGTATAAGGGCATATGTTTAGTGATTGTTTTTAGAGATTAACCAGCACAGCTCTTAACTGTGGTCGTAATGTGGCTAGATGTTTTAAAATTTTGTTGTCTTAACTTTCCTGCTATGGTGAACCACAACCTGTGAGACACTAAACAATAAGATGGTTTTTATCAGGGTATTTTGTAACATTAAAAGGA